GAGACCAAGCCAGATGGTCCGCTCCGCGTCCAAACACCTACGTGAAAAAGAAGGTAAGAGAGATTAAAACAATTTTGTCCCTTATTATAAAAAAGAAAGGTTAGGGTCTCTGCTTTGGGGGGCTGGATTCTTCTCCAAATTCACAGCGGCGCGTCCTGAGGAGCACTCTGGACTGCAGTTACTGTAGGTTCTAAAGTATTTGGCTCACACAGGGGTCCTAATGGAACATCTGGGTTAGGGGGAAATGAGGGAATTCCTGATATTTGGGCTTCCTTTCTTCTCAAAGAGTCTACTTGGGGGGATGACTGAGGTCTAAACTTCTGATTTGATCTAAACTTCTGACCAAGTCTTTAAATTATGGCTCAAAAGTGAACCCTCACACTCCTAAAAACTGAGCTTCACACAAATTAACTCTTTCGATGCTCACCAAAGGAGGTAATTATTATTATCTCTTTATTAAGGGTATTAAGGCCAAAGGCACAGAGAATTTAAATAACTAGTCAGAGATGACAAACTTCTATGGCGGAGTCTGTTTAGAATCCAGGCGGTCTGGCCACACTACTCTTCCTATCACGCTCACAATCCCAGGTCATTCAGTTCAATAACACTGTCACAGTCACAGTCAAGAAGTCCAGAAAGAACAGACACACACACACTGTCTCTGAAAAAATTGCTGGGTCAGAATCAAACTGTCCCGGGAACATACAACACGACCATGGCCACATAAAAAGTCGCAAATTCGCACGACTTCAAATGTCACTGGACTTCAGAGCCTCTGGACCCCATAAACTGCAAACCCCAAATTCCACGGCCGAAGTCTCTCTCACACACAATGCCACTCTCCCCTCTTCTGACTGCTGCCAGGAGCTTGAGGCTCGAGGTGACCGGGCCCTCACTTGGCCCTCCGATCTTTCCACCACCTTCGCCCCGGTCTAGTCCAGTCCCGGGGGGAGACCCGACCAGACGGAACTAAACAGACTGAGCGGGGCTTCCTTCACCGACCAAGCATCCTAACCCTGCGAACCTGAAGATCCAGCCAACCCTAAGAAGGAAGGGTGCCCTTTTTGCGAGGTGGGGTGGGTGGAACCAACGAACCAACCAAACGAAAAAACAAAAACAAAAAAAGTAGTCTGGGGCTGCGAAGGCCTCTGGGAAATGTAGTCCGGAGCAAGAAATCAGCGGAACTATTCAGATTCTTCCCTGTAGCCAGTTGCACTCCCAGCTTCTGAGTGCGGGGCGCAGGGGAGGCCGCTCCAGCAAAGCCTGGGCTGAGCCTGCTGCGGAGGGCCGTGCGCCCTCACGCCCGCCCTTGGCGTTCTCACCGCTCGCACGCAGGAAACCCGTCCTGCCGGGTGAGCCGCGGGGGCCTCTGGGAGTGTTGCCTCGCGTCTGACGGACGGAGGCTCGTGTTGTCTTCAGCCGCAGCCGGCGGCGACCTCAGTGGCGCCCCTATCACAGCCCGCACCGGCTGTGCCGCTGGGCGGCGTTGGGGTGTGGAATCGGGGCCTGCGTCCGCGGGCTCGGTGGTGAGTCCTCGGGAAGCCGCGAACTCTGAGCCCGGGACTCTTTGTGGGTGGGAGTCGGGGCCTGCGGACCCGGTGCCCAGATCTTTGGCAGAGGACGCGGGGCGGGGCGATGCCTGCCCCCGGGGTTCCCTGGCGCCATGGGAGTGGCGTGCGAATGACTGTGAGAGCCTGGCGTGATGTGACTGTATTTTGCCGGGCATTCGCCTGCCTGAATGTGGCCGTGGGGTCGTGTGTGTAAGCGGATTTTGTGCGGGCGCTTTCTCTTGTAGCTTTCAGTATGAACGTGGGTGCAAACATGCGTGACTGTGGGATCCTGAATGAATGAGAAACGCCGGGGATGGAAGCTAGGGTATGTTTCTGGGTGTAGATGTATTAGACTGTTTGTACCAGCGCTGCATATCTTCGGTAATGGTACATTTTTGTATGAAACATCAGTAGCCCCAACACGTTCATATTTATTTTTAATTTTATTATTGTGTATTAGCCATATTGTTTTGCGTGCATACTAAATTCATTCTCCTTGCCCCCCTACTCCACTCCCCAAATCGCAAAATACAGAAAGACTCAAAGAACAAAGATCATTTATAATTCTACCAGCCATGCAACCACTGTCAAAATTTACTTCCCGGCCGGACGCGGTGGCTCACG